ATCATCAAAAACAAAGTTTGCAAACTGGAAGACAGACAAAGTTCCCCATAAAACAAAGCAAACAAAATATGGTGAGCTTCATGACGGACAAGATTTAATTCTGCGGCTGTTTTTCTTCCTTCTGTTCTTTTCTTGTTCCTATTCCCTCCCCCTCCCTTCAGCCTCCAACTTCCGTTTTTCTCCTTTCCACTTGAACTATTTTATGTAACTTCTCTATATCTATCACTCATTTTATTGCTTATTTTTCTTTGGTTTTCTACATAAGAGAAACAATGCAATATTTAAACCTGACTGTCATATTTATTTCACTTAAAAATGTGGTCTCCAGTTATGTCTATTTGCCTAAAACTGTCTGAAATTTGTCCTCCTTGCGGGCAAAGCAGCACTGTACTATATGTAAAAACCACATTTACCTTCCCATATGGGTTCGCCCATTGATGGGGGTCTGGGCTGTTTTGAAGATTTAACTACTGCAAACTGTGTGGCTATAAAGGTGTGTGTGGGTCTGTGGCCTGATGCTTTTAACTCTCCTGAGAAGCTACCTACAAGGGAAACAGCTGGCTCAGGTGGAACCTCTAGCTTTAGGTTCTGCTGAAACCCATATTGATTTCCATATTCGTTGTATCAATTTGCAATCCTGCAAACACTGAGAAGGGCTCCTTTTTCTCAGCAACCTGCCAGCTTCTGTTTCTGGTCGGTTTCTTAATGACAGTCACTCTTTCTGCAGGGAGAGGGAATCTCACAGTAGTTTTCCTTTGCATGTCTCTCAGGACCGGGGATGGTGAACGTTTTTTTCGTATATTTACTTGCTGTTTGTGCTTCTCCATCTGAGCAGTGTCTATTCGTTTCAGATGCCCAGTTTTGGGTGTGTTTAAAGTTGAGAGTCTGAGTTTTTCAGGTTTTTACATATTCTAGAGGGTCCTTTCTCTGAGGAACAGCTAGCAAGCCTTTTTTCTCATTCTGTGGGTTCTCTCCTCACTCTCTTGGTGGTTTTTTGCTGAGCAGAAGCTTTTTAACATGATGTCACCCTGCTGGTCGATTTTCTGTGAAATTCCCTGTGTGCTGGGGCTTTGTTCATAAAGTCTTTTCCTGCTTCTATGTTTTCAAGAGATTTACCTATTCTGTCCTCCAGCAGATTGTGTTTCCCTTTGACATTTATATCATTGACCTGCTTCAGTTTTGGTTTAGTGCATGGTGGGTGACATGGGTCTAGTTTTAGTCTTTGGCAAGTGGAAAGCCAGTTTTCCCAGCACTATGTACTAAGAGACTGTCTTTCCTCCAGTTAAGATATTTGGCCACTTTGTCAAAGATAAGGATGTTGAGTGTGCTTGGAGTAATTTCTGTTCAATTGATCCTCATGTGTGTTTTTCCCAGTAACTTGATGTTTTTATCATGGTAGCTTCATAGTATAATCTCTAATCAGAGATTGGGATGTCCTCTTCTGTTCAGAACTGCTTTTACTATTTGAGGTTTCTAGTTCTAAATGAATTTTAGGATTCTTTTGTCTAGTTGTGTGAGATATGCTAATTATATTTGGATTGGGATTGCATTCAATCTGGATAACAGTTTACGAAATATACCTATTCTCACTATATTGATTCTGCTTATGCAAGAATAAGGAATATCTTTCCATTTTCTGATATCTATTTCAATTGCTTTTTCAGTCTGTCATAGTTTTCAATATAAAGCTCTTTTACTTTCTTCATTAGGCTGCTTCCTAAGTGTTTCATTTCTTGACACTGCTGTGAAATTTGTGGTTTCCTTAATTTCTCTCTCAGTGAGTTTGGTGTTTGTGTACATGAATGCTATTGATTTTTGAATGTTGACTTTCTATCCTGATGCACTACAGAATTTGGATATTAATACTATGAGTCTTTTGGTGGAGTGTTGGGGTCTTCCATGTAGAGTCTCATGCCATCTGGGAATAGTACTAATTTAACTTCTTCCTTTCCTACCCTTAATCCTTTGATTTCTCTCTCTGGTCTATTTGCTCTGCTAATGTTTCCAGAACTGTGTTAAATAGGAATGTTGATAGTTGGCATGCTTGTCTTGCTTCTGATTTTAGAGTAAAAGCTTTCAGTTTTGACCATATAATATTGTGGCTGTTGGTTTCTCATAGATACCTTTTATCAGATTGGGATAAAGACCTTGCATTACGATTTTCTGAAACATTTTTAAATCATGAATGGATATTGAATTTTGTGAAATGTTTTTCTGAATCTATTGAGATTGTCTTGTGTTTTTTGTTCTTCATTCTGTTAATGCAGTGTATTACATTTATTGATTTGTGTATGTTGAACCATCCTTGCATTCCTGGCATGAATCCCTATTTGTCTCATTATTAATCTTGACGATTTCCTGTATTCTCTTAGCTAGTATCTTGCTGAGGATTTTGCATCTATGTTCATTAAGGAGATTGTTCCGTTGCTCTCTTTTTTGTTTGCATTATTCTCTTTGGAACCTGGATAATGTTTGCTTCCGGGAATGCATTTGCGAATACAGTATATAACAGTATTAATAAAAACACAACTTTGTATATAGTATAGAACTTCAAAAACTGGCAGTTATCAAACCAGAATGTATATCGTAGGGTCTTGTCTTCTTCAGTGTAGTTGCCTATAATCCCAAACTTGATTCTATCAATCATATTAGTTTTTTTTTATTTTATAGAATCTGAAAATGATTTTATAAGTTCATGTAAATTGCACAGAATAGTGGATTACATTTTGGTGTACTGCAACTTACATATAATTTACATGGATTTTTTTTTTTCGGAGGTATTAGCTTGGCTTCCCAGAGTCTTAAGTTCCAACATGGCGTGGATCTCAGGAGACACTGCTAGTTCTCCCCCTGGAGGGGCTGCAGTCTGCCACCCTGCCTCCCCTTACAGGGAGGGAAGATGCTGGCTTGGCTTCCAGGAGTCCTAAGTTCCAACATGGCCTGGATCTCAGGAGACACTGCTAGTTCTCCCCCGGAAGGGCTGCAGGCTGCCACCCTGCCTCTGCTTACAGGGAGGGGAGATGCTGGCTTGGCTTCCAGGAATCCTAAGTTCCAGCATGGCATGGATCTCAGGAGACACTGCTAGTTATCCCCCTGGAAGGGCTGCAGTGGGCCACACTACCACTGCTTACCAGGGAGGGGAGATGCTGGCTTGGCTTCCAGGAATCCTAAGTTCCAGCATGGCATGGATCTCAGGAGACACTGCTAGTTCTCCCCCTGGAAGGGCTGCAGTGGGCTAAACTACCGCCGCTTACCAGGGAGGGGAAATGCTGGCTTGGCTTCCCAGAGTTGACCTGTGCTTTTCTTTGCTGGCAGCTTTTGAAAATTACATCTTCAATTTCATTAACTAATATTGAGTTATTTAGAAGTTTTATATCTTCTTTAACCAGCTTTGCTAATTATTCATATATAGGAATCTGTACATTTCTGCTGGATTTTGCATCCTACTGGAGCACAGATTCTCAAATCAGTATTGATGATCTGGAGTTCTGCAGGGCCCACTGTGATTTCACTGTTTTCATTCTTTGTTTGTTTTTACCGAGGGTCAAACTCACGACTTAATGCCTGCCAGTCTGGCGCTCACACTGCTGAGCTATCTCCAGCATCTTTTTCATTCTTAATTGCATGAATTTGAGTCCTTTCTTTCCTTTTATTTTTATCAGTTTGGCCTGGCATTTATCTATTTTACTTAACCTTTCAAAGGACAACTCTGATTCACTGCTTCTCTGCATGGTTTTGTTAGTCTCAGATAGATGAATTTCTGCTGTGATCTTTATCATTTTCTTGCCTTCTTTTACCTATTCTGTCCTCCAGCTCACGGTGCTTCTCTTTGACAGTGTATCTCTGACCTGTTCCAGTTTCCGTTTAGTGCACGGTGGGAGACATGGGTCTCGGGTTAATCTTGCTCTTCATCTAACTTGCTCTACTTTTGGTAGAAGCTTGAGGTTCAATATTAGACTACTTATTTGAACTTGATCTGTTTTTCTAATGTGCAAGTTCACTGCTATGGGTTACATAATTCAGTTATAGCAAATAATTAGCTTGCTAAATTTTTAATACTTAAAGGATCATCACTGTTTTTTGCATAGACACAATTCATTTAATCTTTTGTAGAAAAATATATTTTTCAACAATATTTTGAGAAGGGTTCTTTTTAAGCCTGCTTTAGTTACAGGCTTTAGGAGTACACCAGATGGAAGACACAGTTCCAGTGGAACTTTAGAAGGCATGGGATCATTATACTAGTGGGATGAAGGGAATCTCAGTTTCAGATCATCAGCCCCGAGTCAGATCTGGGTTATGTTTATATAGGTTTGTGAGCAGGAAGTACCCAATCTGACAGCAAGTTAGTTTATAATTGGTTACCTAGATGGGTTCCTACATTGTCAGGCAGATTTGTTCTGAGTAGGCTAATGGGGTACCGCTGTGTAAGAAGTGGGGAGGTCAGGATTGCATCTAGAGGAAGAATCAGTGATCCTCTCTACTAAGTGAGCCAGTGTGTCCTGGAGATCTTGAAAGCAAGCTGCATAATAAAAGCATGGCCAGAGTTATATTCATCTTACAAGTTGCAGCTGGTGGGGGATGTCCAGGCCTAGCTGAATTTTCTAGGTTTTTAATTATGTGAACAGATTGCCCTTCCCAGTCCTCTCCTTGAATAGTACAAGAAATAAATGTTTTAAAATTTCCTTCACATTCAAATTGCCTTTACACTTGAATTAACAGCAAACTGGCAGCTCATCACCAGGATTCCCCTCTAACTCCTGTTTTCATGGACAAGTCCAGATTGTGGTATTTGTTGCGACTCAGTTGAGCTGTGATACAACTTCACATGGGGAATGGCTAGCTCAAGCCCAGAAACATGCACACCAGCCCGAATAGCTCCTCTATCTGCTGACAGCAGGTAAAGGCGACTCTCTTAGCTGTTTTCAGGGGCACAACATGGTGTTGTGAGCTGTTTGTGCAACAAATAAATTTCACAGTGAAGCAGTATTTTCAGTTGTCATTGTGTTCTTTATTTCCAGCTGTCCTAGTTGGGATGTGCTATATATTCAGCGTGGTGTGAGTTTGTGTGTGACCGTGTTTGTGTTCAGTGAACATAGACCTTTTGGCTGTGTTTTCAGAACAATGTGCAGTGTGCTCATTCTGTGTGTGCTCTGTGCTGCTCAGGCTCCACTGCCAGCCAGGGAAGGTCAGGGTGGCCCCTCCAGGCTGAGTCACTTGACCCAGGGTCTCCATGCCAAGCTCAAGTCCATCAGCCTGCACTTCCCTCTGCATCTAAATGGGCTGAGGTCTGCAGCCCACATTCCCAGCCTAGGGGCTCAGGAACACTGAGCAGAGGCTGTGTGTGTATGGAAGAGTTCAGCGTACCCCTCAGACAGCCAGAGGTGCAAATCCCAGGCCACCTGGTCCAGCCAGACTGTGGATCCTAAGGGCTGAATCAAGAGGCTAGGAGAGTCAGAAGCCCTGACCTCGCCCTTTCCCTGAGAGAAGAGAGGCATGCTGCCTGCTGGCCTCAGCTCCTTGCATCCTGTGTCCTTGGTCTCCTTTGCCCCACTGCCCTCCCCGCAGAGGGGACACTTTGCCTGGGTGAGCACCCTGGCTCTCTCCAGTGGCTCTTCTGCAGGCCTTGGCGCCCTGTCCTGCTCCTGCCTATGGACCTGCTGCTGTGGCCTGCGGAGGGGGAGGGGGACAGCTGAGGTCAGGAAGGGAGGGAGCCTGGTCTTGTTGAAATCCTCAGCCTCCAGCAACCCCAGTTTGCTGCTGTGAAGCAGCAGGGCTTCCTGGAGACGCACTGGGTCACCCTGCCACTTCCCCTGATGTGCCACAGCCGGCCCCCAAAACAGGGTGAGATGCCCCGACTCCCACAGAGATGCCAGCCCCATAGCTGTGACCTCCCATCACAACTTCACTACCACCAATAGCAAGCTTAAATTTGAATTCATCAGCCTTCTGCACCTGAGCCTGTCACAGAGATAACCCAGGGCTCCGCTCTGGGGTGCTCTGCAGCCCACCTTCAGCACCAAGGTCTGCAGTCCCAAGATCTTGGTGGAGTGGCACAAGTGAGTGTTCAGTGCTGGAGGAGCCCAGCTTGTGTGCTGTGTGACAGTGCTGACCCATGCTTCAGACAGGTGCCATTTGGCCCCAGACCACACTTAGATTTTACTGCTTTGAGGAGTTTGGGCTGGGATTTGGGGACCCAGAAGGAACTGCTTGCATGCACATGGGTGCACCCCTTACGGAGATGTGAACCTGCCACAGAACAGCAGGCTGTGGGTCGCATTGTGTCTGATGAAGAACAGGAAGGGGTGGTCAGCACAGAACACAGGCAGAGATTTCAGACAGCACCCGGGAATCACCATTACTGCTCTCGCTGCGGCAGCCTCCATGCCCTCCACGTTGACCTCCACCACACTCCTGTGCAGGAACTTGGACAGACACAGCTCACTGTCCACCACTGTCCCGGACAGGTCGGCCTTCCCCGGCTGAAAGGCATCCACTACTCTCAGGGCCTGCAGCAAGGCGCCCATGTCATATTCCTCCTGCAGCTTGAACCTCCTCAGGAAAACTTCCACTTTGGTCCTCTCCATCTGCTCTGGACTGGTCCAGGTTTGCAGTTTCTCAGAAGTGAGGCTCTTTTCCACCTGCAACACAGGATTACACTTTAGCATTGAGACCTCAGTGGCACCCACAGCTGTTCCTCCATGGGCACCTGACCTCCTCTTGCAGGTGGGTAGTACTGATTACCATGGACTGAGCCTTGCAGCCTCCAACAATGTTGTGTGGTCTCGGGCTTGTCCTGCATGGGTTTGCTTTTGAGATACCTCCAGGTCTAGCTTCCCGAAGTGAAAGAGGCATACGATCCCCAGCACCCCAAACCACATCTGTGCCACGGGTTGAAGCTCAGGTGTCAGAGGGGGATTAGGGCTTTATGAGTCTTTGGTTTTGTGCCCAAGGCTTAGTTTGAAGGGGACAAACCGGTCATAGTAAACAAGGGACACAGGGCTGTGGCCCTGACCCACCCAGGGCAGGGGCCTGAGGCTGCAGGGGACTGGGTCTGCCTGTAGTCAAAGTGCAGAGTGGGGACCTCATGAGGCTTCTAGCTAAGCCTAGCTGGACAGGTTCAGGTGCCTGCAGGAAGGAGTCCCTGGAAAGAACCACCAGGACAGGGAATGAGAGAAAAAGAGAAACTGGACGGAGAAAGACACTGAGAGCATGAGCGGCAGGGGGACTTACACCAGAGGGAAGGCAGATGGCAGAGCCCAGAGACCGGGCACACTGAGCTGGGATGGTGTCCCTGCCACCATGCAGGGTGCAGGAGTGGAGGGGACCAGTGCAGGGACAGCTCCCCCAGGGCTCACATTGGCACCCACACCTGTGCAAGTGCTCATAAGTTTTCCTCACTGCAGGGTCGCTGGGTACCACTGCTGACCCACAAAAGGCCCACCGACACTGAACTGACTTGTGGAAAGCCCCTCCCAACCAATCACCTGCTGCTCCCCAAGACAAGGCCCTGGAAGGACAAAGGGCAGAAAAAAGTCACAGGAAGCCCATGAAGAGGAATGTCCACATAGGCAGTGGTGCCCATCTAATCCCAGGACAGCCCAGGCAGCCAAGCAAATTGTCCCCAAAACAGCGACGGGAGACAGGGAGAAAGGCCCATGGGCATCAAACTCTCCAGGCCCCTGGCCCTGTCTGGGGCAGCTCTCTAGCGTCTGTCATTTCCTCCTGACAAATGAGGTGTCCTCCTGTCCTGAGCTGTGTCCCCAGCTCATCAGTGGTGCTGAGCTTATCATCCCAGGCTGCTGCTCTTCCCAGGGGTGCTCAGCGCTGGACACACATGGCAGGACTCTGAGTGACTTTGGGTGAAAAGCATCCCAGGCGGGGAGAGGACAGAGGGATGGCCAGGGCAGGACTGTGGGCCTGTGTAGCTCTGGTGGAAAGGACACAGGGATGTCACCAGAGGCTTTGGGCAGGACAGCAGACATACATGCCCTGACCCTTGTCTCACCATGCTGAGGTCCATGCCTTCATCCGGGAGCATGAGCATGGTGAGCTCCTGGCCCTCTTAGGGCAGCTCTAGCACCTGGGCCGCACCTCACTCACGTGGGCCCAGGGAAACTTGCCTTCCTGGAACATCATCTGCACTGGCCGCTGCTCCTTCTGAGAAGGAGTAGAGGGGCTCATGGTCAGCGGCTCCTCCAGGAACATGACACCTGTCCAAAGCAGCTGCCCCTGTGGCCCAGGCCCACAGTGGGAATGGTGTCTGTGACCGGGTCACCCCTGGGAAACCTCATTGGGCGCCTCCCACAGAGTGTAAAGAGATGGACTGTGCACAGAGGCAGGAGAGCCTGGGGAGGTGTTCTGGCCAGCAAAATAGAATGGGCTGCTGTGAGTTTTCCACATGCTACTGCTCGGCTGTGAGATGCCCCCAAATTTCTCACAAAAAATAAATGAATCTTTCCATAAATTGCATGTTTATTTAAACTGGAGTGGTACCTTAGCATGTATAAACTTCCTAATTTTGCCTTTGCTACTTGGTTCTTTGTGATTCTTTCTGTTTTTTTAAGGAATGAAAGTACTTGGTAAACTATGTTAACTTCTGCTTTAGGCGAAGTTAAAAGTGTCAAGAACAGGGTCCTTGCCACTTGGTTTTCATTTTAGAAAATGGCAAGGAGCAGATTAACAATTGTTAAGTTAAAGATCAGTGATTCATATGACTACTTAATTTCCACATTAGTTCATAAAAGCAAATGTTTTCATGAGTTTTTTCCTTGTACCCTACCCAGCATCCTAAACATATGTCACAATACCTTACCACCTGGTTTGAATTGCTTCTACCTATGCAACCCGGACTTACAGGAAACTCTTTAGTTCCCACAGAGCTTCCAGCAGTAGATGTAAGAGAAATCACCAAGACAGAAAGAACAGTAATAGGATGAAAAAAAATCACCGCCATAAAATATTCCTACTCCTATATTTTTATTACGGGATTCAAAATCCAACCATAAATATACTGCTACAAAGGACTACTTATTCCTTTGCAAATTTAAATTTTTCTATTTAGTATTTTTATTTTTTGTACCAGGGATCAAACTCATGACCTCAAGCTTGCCAGGCAGGCGTTTATGGCTGTTGAGCTAAATCCCTGGCACCTATTCAGTTTCTTTATCAAATGATGCTGCTTAAAGCTCCGTACCTGGTTTACCTTAAAAGGCATTTTCCGCGTGCAGGACTTGTCAACCTGCTTGCCCCCCTTTCCTTTAAAGTACACAGCGTTAATGAGAACCAGCCTGCTCTCCTCATCAGTGGAGTTCTTTGCCAACAGCTCTGAAATTTTGCCTTTGGAGAAGAGCAGAGAAACATTGAGTGGTTCCTTTAACACATGAGATGAACCAACACTAGGACAACATCCAGCAGATTTAAACAGGTTGTTTTCAGATTCGTCAAATTAGGGTCCTTACAGATTGAAAAGGGGATAACAGTGCCTAGATGTGGCGTTCATGCATGGGGACACTTGGGGAGCATCCTTCCAATGGAGGAAAGTGTGGGGCTGCTGAGTCACCCGAAGAGAGAAGAGATGAGAAGGGACAGGCTGGAGACCAGGCCAGGCAGGACATGAGAGTTGCTCTGGGTGGGCACTGCAGTCCCTTCGGGGTCCCATGGAGCATGTGGCCTAAGGCTCTGGGCTGACACTCAGAGGTCACCTTGGGCAGTGCTGAGGCAGGGTGACACAGGTAGCCAGAGAAGACTGCAAAGCAGGCAGGTGGCTGATGGCCATGGGAGGGGTTCCCAGGAGCTGGGGGAGGGAGAGAGATTATTGTTGGAGTCTGGAGACCTAGCAGCAAGGGTCCCTGGTGAAGACAGTGTGGGCTAGTAGATTCCCTCCTCTGCTCCTGGACACCCAGGGCTGCCTTTTCATGAACTAAGAGCATCATTGTTTTGTTTTTTTGTCTTTTTCGTTTTTATCGGTACCAGGGATTGAACTCATGACTGCCTGCTTGCAAGGCAGGCGCTTATGCTGCTGAGCTAAACCCCCAGCCCCGAAGAGCATCACTGTTTATCATTGCTTCCAGTGTGCACAAGTGATAAACACTGGATAGGAGGATCTGAGGCAAATAAGTGCTGAGCCTTAAAGGGAAAACTGCCTGGCTTTGCTGCTGTCTCCTTTGGTAGCAGAAATAGCAAGGCTCTAGCAGGTGCGGATGTACAGATGGTTCACTCTGCAACAGGGAGGAGTGGGCAGGAGGAAAGGCGGGAGAGGGAGCTGCAGAAGGGACCCCCCAGCTGACCTTCAGTCTTCCTGGACACCCAGGCGTTGATGTGGTTCCTGGACCTCTCTGGGGCTTTGGCGAAGGACAGCGGCTCCAGCTCGGCCTGGTAGAAGAGCAGACAGGACTCCTGAAAGGACTGGGGACAGAGACAGGGCGGGTGAGCCAGGGAGCTGCAGGAAAGGTTGGGGGCTGCCAAGCCTGCTAAGTGTTCCCTGGTTCTCTCAAACCTGACAAGGGCTGAGGAGAGGTCACTGGGAGGCTCTAGGATGTGGGATACCAGTTTCTAGATGGGGTGTGCTGAGTCTGGGGTAAGCAGACGTGAATAGAGGAGTTCCTGGTCCACTCAAACAGGGACATCGCAAAGGGAACCCTTCAGGAGGCATCGTCATCTGAAGACAGGAGGTTGCCTGTCTGGTCCCCAAGCTCTCTAGGGTCTTTGTATTGGGCTTTGGGCCACCGGGTATTTTACCTCAACTTTTCCTGTTGGGAGACTCAACTCACGGGCAGGAATTCGCAGCTCTCTTCTGAAAAGAGCCTGTAGACGATGCTGAGGGAGTACGGAGCACCAGGCCTGTGCACCTGGGGGAGAAGCGACTGGAAGCCTCCATGAGGGTCCTCCACTGAGCTCAGCCCCAGCGCCTGCAAAGGAAGTGATGGGCACTGTCAGACTGGTCTTCTGGTCTCACATAGAGGTTACTAAACATATGCTTTTTCTTTCAAGTATCCTTGGAATGATCCTTGGAAAGGTACTAGTTGTTCTTGCTATTGTTGTACATTTGTTTTGGGTTTTGTTTTTGCAAGCAAGGATCTGACTAAGTAGCCAGGCTGGACTCCAACTCTTGTCCCAACTCCTGAGTGCTGGGATTGCAGGCAAGCACCACCTCACTGGCCAGGAAGCTTTACTTTAACTGAGTACTGAACCCTACAGAAGTGTTGCTGGTGAGGAGGGGTGCAGAGATCAGAGAGGGACAGGAAACAGGGCAGCCAAACGTGTGGCTCTTCTGCCTGCTCTTGACTTCAGGGGAAAAATGCAAATTGAAAAGGGCCAGAGAGGCTCAGAATGCAGCTGATATAAAGCCCTGCATCTCCTGCTCGCCAGCAATACACCAGAAACAGAATTTTCTTTTAAAAGGAAAAGTGTAATGATTGATACACTGTGTCAAGTTGAGAAATCTAGAAGTAAATGACTCAGCAGGGGACCAGAGCCTCACGTTATAAACATTCTCATCCTGCACCAAGAAGAGATGATGCCAGAGGCACACCCACCCGTGGGAGCTGTAGACTGCTTACATGATAAGAGAGTGAAAGAGGCTTGCTCTCCCCCACCGCTTTGCTTTTGCTGCTTGAACTGTCTTCTGCTGCCTGAAGTGTTCCCCTCTGTGCCATCCCATCCTGCTTTGCAGTCAGCTGATTACACACTTAAACCTCCACAAACTGTGAGCTAAATAACCCTTTCCTTCCTTTATTTTGAGTGTCAGATATTTTGCTCAGCAACAAGAGAAAATTAACAGTTAAAACCACTAAAAATATAAGAAAAATGTGCACAAATGTAACCACAGTGGCAATCTTAAAATGAAATAAGGGTATAAAAGGTGCAACATGATTAACAGAATGAAAACAAGAGTTCTTAAAACTGTATTCTACAGAGTCCATATATATATACTAAGTGTTACACTAATATTTCAAAAATGTATATATGAGGCTATATAAACACTCTCAATTGACTGAAAGACAGAAATTACAGACAGGCACTTTAGTACAGATCTGTACTTGTCACTCTGATAGGCAGAGGCAGGAAGATCTCAAGCAGTTGGTCAGACTGGTCTATTTGGGGACTCAGTAGGACCTTATGTTAAATTAAAGAAAGCCTGAATATAGAGCTAGGTATGAAAATTTTGCATGACATCCTAGTGCAGAAAAAACACCCTACAGATTTTAGTCTCTGACATCAGTGTATTAAACCAGACACTAATAACAAGATGAATAAAGTTTGGGAACCGTGGAAATGATGGTGCTGAGTCATTACTGCCACCCTTTCCCAAGCCAGGTGTGGTGATGATCCCAAGGCCTGCTGTCCACCACAAAGCCAGTGGGGCTTGGATCATTTTCTAAACTCAGTGCCAGGGAAAATCTTGAATCTTCCTTGAGCTGTTACTTAGGGAAACTCTCCCTGTCCTGCAACCACCGCAAAAGACCACAAAGACAAACAAGAAAGGAGCCTCATCCCAGAAGGAGACAGGAGAGGCCAGCCTACCTGGACCATCTGGGCTACTGTGCTGCCCTTGGCTCCCAGCAGGACCATGGCCAAGGCCGAGGAGGTGCTCACAGGAGAGCAGAAGACATTGTGCTCAGGACAGTCCTGACCCAGGAGCTTTCTGAGGTGAATGGCAAAGGCGCCACTGGCTCCCACAGCGCGCTCATGCTGCAGCTCTGGAGGGAGAGATCAGAGGCAAACATCTCACCCAGGGGTCCTGGACTGCTGGCCCCCAGAAATTTTGCTTCTTATCACAGAGGCCCAGAGCTGCTCTACTTCAGTAGGGACCTCCTTCCTCTTCCCTCTGCCCATCAGGGTCCCCTAAGCAGTGGTTTCTGAGCCCTGAGGGCGCTCTGTCCACTAAGAAGGTCCCTACCTCCTGGCCTCCCTCAGCATTCCGGGCTGCCCAGGTTGCCTCCCCTCCCAAGTCCTGGCACAGCCACCCTAACTGCGGTGTGGCAGCCCCTCTCAGTGACCTGGGCGCATCCTGGAGACTGTGGGGGATAAGGACCCTGTCCCTCAGGGGCCACGTGCTCAGGTGAGAGAAGGCTTCAGTCTCCCGGGGTGAGTGGCAGGGATTCTGGGATACTCAGGGATGCTGCCTGTGCAAGGGAGCTCTGGTAGCTGAGGACAGAATAGGACCTGGGCGGCGCTGCTAGTGGCCTGGACGGTTCCCTGTGAGGCCACCTGCCTGTTTCCTCCAATCTAAGAGCAGTGGCTGTGGAACCAATGGGCCGGCTGCCTGGGTCTCAGCTCCTTCCCCAGGGGGGCTGAGCCAGGTCTCCCCCTGCCTCACCTAGCCCAGCCTGGCCTGCCAACCTGGCTTTGTCCTGCGGGAGCCTGGACCCCACCCAATGATGGCAGGAGCTATGTCAGCTGTGCTTGTTGGGCTGAGACACTGGGGCTTCTTGGCTCCCCCAGCTCACCAGTTTCCTGAAGCAGAGCCGGGGTTGTCCCAGCCTACAGGGACTGCCTGGGGGCAGAGGAGATGGGCAAGTCCTTATCACAGCAACAGAGCTCCAAGCCGCACTCAGGAATTCAGAATTCGGATTCGAAAGTGAAAGCAGATTTGGAGGACCCTGAGGATCTGAAGAAACAAGAGTGGGGTGGCCTGATTGTTACCCCAGCACTGGGGGAGGCCGAGGCAGGAGGAAGGTGACTTGTAGCCCAGTCTGGAAAACTTAAGAATTCATCTCAAAATTTTAAAAAAGGGGCACAGGGAATGTGGCTGTACACAGGTTCTGGGTTCCACCCCACTACAGCCTCCTCCAAAAGACAAAGAATGAACAAAAGCCAGAGGAGTGAAGGCACCTAGCAAGCCTGGCTTTCCTAATTCCAGGAGGCAAAGGAGCCTGGGAAGCCCAGACCTCCCTGGGGAGGGGTCAGCTCCACACAAAGGCACCCTGGGACGAATTCCCAGTGTTTGCCCAGCAGCCCCAGCAGCCCCAGCAGCCCCAGAGCCCAGGCTCCAGCTCCCAGAAGCCCAGCCCTCCTCTAAGCCAGGCCTCCTGTGTATGCTGTCCTGCTCCTGCAGCCCAGGGGCTGACACTGAGTGGAACCACTCAGGATGCTGACTTTGTCCTCTGTCTGAGGGCACAGGGGCAGGGACCCCAACCAGGGCCAGTTTCCTGAGCCTTCGGAGACGTGTACTGTGTCCACCCACGCAGTCCAATGGTGGGAAGCCATGGGAAACGACCCTGAGCATGTTCAGAAGTGCACAGGGCTTGGGAAGTTTATCTAAATGCCTGTGGTCCTCTGAGGGCTGACCTGGGGTGAGGTCAACTGGGGTCTTCTAACAGAACCCCCAGGGTGCCTGCCCTGTCCTGGGATGAGGCCCCCTCACACCTCTGAGAGGCAGGGATCACTTAACACACACACACACACACACACACAAAACCCCTTTCTTGAAACAATGTATGCTTGTAATGCTGCTAAGAGAAGAATGCTGAAATTCCAGAGTTAGGCTCCTGGCAGGAGGAGGGGAAGGAAACCTAGGAGTTCACATGACTGACAGCTTCAAGCTAGACCAGCAAGGGAAACATAAGCTTTTCCCCACCTTGCAGCACATATGGGAAATTAACCTCTGGGGCCCTTGGGCAGTGCCAGTCTGCTCTTGGAACCCCTCAGTGGCCTCTGCGCTGTGACCCCAGTACCCTGCCTTGTTCACTTTGCTTGCTAGTGGCACAGCACCACAGCCTGATGAGTATAAAGGAAAAGGGTTCCCTGGGCTCACTCCTCCGTCAGAGGTGCAGGGGCTGCATCTGGACACACTCTCCTGCAGACAGAGCCCTGCATCTTGTAAATCAGCTCCTGCATGATACAGGGAACTCCACAGCAACCCATCAGGATCGGATTTGATAGCAGAGCCACTTGCAAAGCTCAGTTAACCCAGGGTGACCTCGGGTTTAGTGGCTCAGTTCCTGAGAGCAGAGCACTAAGGATCTCACACAGGCCCCCTCCTGCCTTGTTTCTTAGTATCTTGCCATGGGAATTACATTTCCACCTGAGTTTCAGAGGACAAAAGTGTAAGGTACCACTGGCAAAGTTCTAAGTTTGGCTAACAGATGAGCGCAGTGAATGAGAGGTTGTTTGTCCTTAAGTGATTCAGCAATTGTTTCCCGCTCTTCTTCCTGGAATTTTTAATGCAGAACCCAGAGGAGAAGCCTGGGAAGCCAACAGCCCTGATGCTAGCGCCCTGTGTGGAGGTGTGCAGGGCTGGACCTGCCAGTGGCCACTGGGGCTGCTTGCCCTCTCAGGAGCTGGGTCACCTTGCTGGAAGCCCTGACCCCATGGGAACCCTCAGCAGGGTCCATCCAGCTTTACTCAGAGAGGAGTCCTGTTGTGTTTTGGGATTTCGTTTCTCCCTGTCCTGAGAAGCCTCATAGAGAAGCACACCCATGGATCTCAGCTTTTGGTTTGCTCATTGGGTGCTGTTTGTTTCATATGTTTTGAGCACGGTTCTGTGGGTGTAGCTCAGGCTGGGCATTGGGAAGTCGGTATGTGGCCCAGGTAGGCCGCTGCCTTGTGAGGAAGCTCAGGCCTCAGCCTTGAGGGTCCTGGGGATATTACTGACCTATTTTGTCTCACCCAGCTAGAGCTTATGATTTAGAATTCCTTTCGCGAGTTAAAAGGAGCATGAAATGATATTGTCAAAGCTAAAGCCGCGATTAGAAATTATACTGGAAGGCGATGAGCCCATTTAAATAACTGGTCTCATGCTTTGTTGCTCTTGCAGAGGAGAATGAGGCGCGGTGTGTGGGACAGCCCCTGGTAAGGCTTGCTCAGATGCAGTCTGTGTATTGATTTAGATCTCACTGTGCTGCCCTGGTGTCCACGCTAAGGCAGGACAAGTGGTACAGAGTGCCACCGGTCACAAGAGTGCTGGAGGTCCAGCTCCTGGGATGTCTGAGTCAGGAGGACGGCTTGAGCTCACAAGCCGAAGACCACCCTGGGAATATCATGAGACTCCCTCAAAAAATAATATGCTGGCTGTGTATGTTCTCCAACTTGTAGCAGCAACTTCCCTTGAATCCAAATAATATGATCAGTGTTCAAGATACATTTAGTCAGGGGTGAATACGATAAATAAAGGTGAGTATTTAAAAGAACTCTTCTTTCCCACGGAAAGACATTTGAGGGGCATGAGTTCATTTAGCACAAGGTTAATGATTCAGGATTTTGAATCCCCATTGAAACTGTATTTGTCACTCAAAACTCACGTACCTACTTTATTATTTTTAGGAAGTCAATTGTCCTTCTTATCTACTTGATGAAATGAGATCTTACATAGGAAACATTTTTCTGGGATTTCTCAGCACTGATGAGGGAAAAGGAGTCTGAATCCTAACAATAGGTGAAAGGTTTTTTCCCAAATTGAGAACATCAGGGTAGAAAAGTCCGTGAAAACTAACAGAGCTGTGACACTGGCCTAACAAGTGTTCAAAACTCCTAGCTAGCATGCAGGCAGGAAGTCACAGTAATGACATGTTAAGGTCACAGCCCAGCCACTCTTTCCTGAGTGACTCCAGTGTAACTGAGACCAGCAGCTGTCTATGGCTGCACTGCCCTAACACGCCTGATCTTGCCTGAAATCTCCATAGTCTGTCCCGTGATCTTCCCATGTATCTATCTTGATGCTTTTGTGCCTTTGGCATAGTGCAGCATGCAAGGGCTGCGAGACAGGTTTCCTTTCATGCCTTCAAAGGGCAGAATATTTAGGTTGGCCACATTCTGTAACAATTTCCGTGACTTTGAAAATCTCTTGCTCTTGATGGTTGTCAAAAGAAGGCTTGTACACATACCATGCTGGATATTAAGGTTCACTTATTCAGTGGACAAGAAAATAACTGACTGTAGCTTGGAACTCTGCTAGGGACCTGTCACTGTCCCCGGCTAGCATGGATCCTTGTGTCAGTGATGATGGAAAAGAAAACTGGGCAGCAGCACAGTTGCATAGAGAAAACCCTTCAATGGAAGGAGCAAAGTTCCATAGGCTGCCCCGGAGGAGACAGAGAGGTGGGCTGCACTGTATTTTATGGGGTTGCAAAGGAATGTCATTAATCGTTCATGTTTTCTCCAAAGGGACAGGGATCCCTGGGTGAGATGCGATTTAGTTAGTGTGAAGGCAAGAGTTTGTACATGGCCCATATGTGGCTCCTAAAGGTGCTGCACTCCAGTGTAGGGGAAATTTTATTGTGAAATAAGACATAGCTCAGTGGTGCAGTGGCTGCCTAAAGTGCAAGGTCCTGAGTTCAATTCCCAGTACCCACAAAAACAGTTACAGTGAGGATATCATGAAGCTTAGGGTCCTTTCTGGGTGTGATCTGTGGCATCTGTGTTTGCAGCTTCTCATCCAGTTTTCCATGCAGTGCACCTCTTCCCTCAAGGACCTCAGCGCTTGCTGGCTTCATTAATAGACTGCTACCCTTTCCCTCTAGTCACCTAAAGCCATAGCTGCTGCCTGTCCTCTCTCAGGCTAGGACTGCCAGTGCTGCCCTGACCCCCTGCCTGGTGCCCCAGGCTCAGCATCCAGTTGATGCCCCAGAACACACCAAGGTGGCCACAGGCTGAGGCCCAGCTGGGGTGGGAGGAGTCCCAATGAGCTGAGCTCCCCTCCTGCAGGCTGGGGACAGAGGGAGAGCAGGGGCAGGAGTGCAGGAAGAGGACACACTGGAGTTGGCCCAGGACTGGGGGATTCAGCGGGATGGATGAAAAGAGAGGAAGACACAATTCAGAAGCAGCCGTGGATCAGAAATTGCACCTATAGAAGTGTAGAGTATGTATATTCTAACCCAAAAAACTACACTCAACTCTTCTACAGATTTTCCTTTTCACCAGTGTGCAAACCCTTTTTACGAAAGGAGGCTCCCGACTTCTAAGTCTGCCTGTCGTTCTGAGGAACTGCTTCAGGGCCCATGTGCGGATTTCAGAGGAAGTTGTAGGGACTTCCATAGGTTGGTACATGTCTCCGTGCTGCTCACACACACCTGGGAGCAGAAAACCAATGCCATTACCCTCTGGGTTCCTGCAAAGACTGATCTCCACACAGAGCTCTGTGCCTTGACCTCCACAGGGTACGTGGGAAAGTACGTGGGGTTGGAGGTGCAGCTCGGGATGAGGAGCTTCCTTAGCAAGCGCCAGGCCTTCCCTTCATCACCCAGCACCATGAGCAGCACCAGCGGCAGAGTTCATGGCATTGTCCAGCCCGGGGCTTCTCAGCTGCATCCTCCCTGATGCAAGAAGCTGGTCCCAGAGCAGTGTCTGCCTGTGCTTGTCTTGGGCACAGAGGCCTGCTGAGCAGCAGCCCTGGGTATACACGGAGACTCCAGCAGCAAGCCGAGCAATGACCCTGGACATTAGGAAATGTCCTGGGAAGGGGCAGAGTCACACCCAGGTGAGAATGCTAGACTAGCAGATTTATTCTAACACACAGGCGTGGTGACCAGAGCAAGGCAGACCAGAAAAGTTCAGTGTCACAGGGCCCCAGGGGACACATAAAGAGCACACAAAAATTCAAAACATCACAGAAGACTTCACAGAAGTTCCCAGACTGCACCATGACTTAATTGTCATGGCAGAGAAGTTCCTGTCCAAAGCCCACACTCTTCCTCCTAAAAGGAGGAACAGATTTTCACTGGGTTCCCAGGAGGACCCAGGAGACTGTCCACACATCCCAGGTATTCTGTACAGAATATGACCTGCGTGCTCAGGTTATCTAGAACACTTCTACCAGTGCATTGAAGAAGCCCAGACCCTTGAAAAGTTAAAAGACACTTTTCCTAAGGCCTAACCGGCTACATCATTTGTGTTTGATTTCACATGTAACCCATTTTGGAGAAATCAAATACTTTGTTTCCTCTAAAAGCCCCGGAAGACAGAAGTTCCCCTTATGTTTATTCCTCTTTCACTTGCACACTGTCATAGGCTACAGAAAACCCAGTTTACAGAGAGCGTATGTACACAATACATTTCCATTTTAAATCTCATTTAACAAAAACTCAAAATATGAAGTCCTCTGCCCGTGTGTGGAACACGCTTGGAGTCTGACCTTATTCATCCAGGTGTGCTTTTCTGACTAGCGCAGCCCCCCAATGAGACAGAAGACGCTCTTGTGGGTAACAGGAACTGCCGCTTTATTTACACGGGCTCTGGTTTATATATTCAGCTGTGACCAATCACAGGCCGCCACGAGGAAGCAGGGCGGGAATGGGACGCAGGCTCTGGCTACTATACCCAGCTGTGGCCAATCAGGGGTTGCCACAGAGTCAGCACGGGGCGAATACGGAGTGAGCACGAGGTGCGCACGGGGTGGCTAGTTTAGAGAGGGACATAACGCATTGCGGAAGCTGATGTGGTCTTATCGTCCCGGGTGGGGTGTGTTGAGCACCTGGGCCCAACACTTTTCCACCAGGTATTAATGCTTTAGTCCAAGGAGACCTCTGGATGGTCATGAGACTGATGGAATTCCAGGAGGTCTCTTTCCACCTGGTAACTTTCAAGCATCGCTAGAGCACTGGATAAATCATGGTGAAGAGGTCCTGAAACAGCTTTGAGACCACAGCTGTGGGCACATTGTTCTGTTCACAACACAGCAGAAACAGACACCAGAGATCTGTGAGAGCTGCACTAGGGAGAAACCCTCAGGGAAGGGAGAGACTGGCAAATTCTTTTCCATCCTTACTGATGGTGCAGGGGACATCGCAGGGGGAGCACTTGCCTGTCTTTGTGACTTTGCCAAGGAATCTGGTAACCTGAGAGAAGAGTTTGTGGGCTTCCTACCTCATGAAGCTGATGCAGAAATTTTGACTGTGAAATTTCACACAAACATCCCCAAGCTGTCTACACACCCTGCGCTTCCTGAGCCCGGGGTGTGCTCCCCAAAGCCCGTGCCTGAGGGCGGGAATCAGCTGCCTTAGGAACAACCCAGAAAGTTTGCTCTTTTTTCCATGAGTCTCAACTACTTTTAGAACTTGATGGTGCCATTTCTGTTCTTTTTAAGACAGTGAAGAACAGGTAAGGAACTGAAGGAACTACGCCATGCTCGGTGGACAGGCAGACACGATGCATTGGAACTTGGAGTGGACCTCCTGCAAGCACTGGTGTTAATGTGTAGATTGTGTAAATAGTGACATAATTATTAGATGGAATAACCATAAAGCTGGCCGAGGACTTGTACTCTGTAGAGCAGTGGCAGATTTTGATTATTTTGTTACTTTTCTTGTTCTTAGAATGTCTGATCCTTTACACAGACCTCTGGGAAAAACTCTCCAGGGACAAATTTCTGATGTCAGCTTTGCCACTGCTGTACTGCTCTCACTCAGGGAAGGGTGGCAACCAACTGGATGAGCCAACTGGGATGAAACTCGCTGGGAAGTTTCTTAGGGCGCAACCAGATGACGCAGAATCTCAGGTAACCTCCGAGAGTCACCATAAAGAAACCCTGAGTGTCCAACAGTGGAGCACATTGTTCCAGACCAGCATCTCAAAGCTCTTAAGCGCTTATCTCTGGTACCCTAAGTCATGGGACAGCTGGCATTCAACACATCAGAGCAGCAGCATGCTGACAGCTACAGAAAGAAGGGACTTCCCGGTCCTGCACTCTCCGCTGAGATGCTGGTTGCAGAATCAAATGGAGGCCTAGAGGAAGACACAGAACCTCCACCTCCCATTCACGAAGCTCTCCCTTTGCCTGATGTGGTTTTCTCCTGATGTGTACGCCTTGTTGAATGTCCTGAGCCTTCATCCCGTGCTGAAAGCTGAGAGCCTCAGAGCAGCCGGGGCAACACTTTGACAGACAAAGATCAAGTAGGGTGGCTTTGCTTAACATAATTTTGATATAAAACATGCTCCAGATTTAATGGTGAGCCCATCAAATCCAACTATACACAAGTAAATCAGAGCTTCCTAAGGAGAATTCAGAGACTGCTGAAAATACCCAAGAAATGTTTAAAACAGCCTTTCTCTCATATTTGCTATTTGTAAGGAAAACCATCAGGGGTGTGTAGGCCAGCTGGTCACTGAGTAGGTGAGCCCCTAGGCCTGGGGCTGACTGTGTCAGCCACTGACAATCTCTGCATTCCAATGGCCCCTCTGAACTCTGCTGAGAGCCCTGGCAGTGCCCACTTTACTTCAGGGTGCCCTCTGCTGGTGGCACTGTGGAACTGTGTTAGTTAAGACATTTTACACAACACTGTATTAGAGTTGTCAATTTTTGAAGAAATGAATTTTGAGGTGATGTGGGAGAAAGGAATGCATTTTATGACATGGTACGGTGAAGCCCATCACCGGCCTGTGACGAGAAAGGGTTTTCAGTGTGTTATGAACAATCCATAGTGGACGGCGAAGGGCATCCCTAGAGAGGAGTTTATGAGCTCGCCAGCTCTCAGGGCAGATTTTGTCTTTATGAAGTGAAGCTGAACGGAAAAGCCACCATATTCTGCATCTGGCTGCTGAGGTGCACTCCTCCGCTGCACCCACATCTTCTAAACTGCTCCCCAGGGAAATGCTGACCTCCCGGTACAGATGGAGCTTGAAGCTGTCACCCGGGTAAGGGACTTGTTCATTTTCTTCTGTTTTTTTCCGTGACCCTCCTGCCTTGCCTTGATTTAGAAGCAAAACCTGGAAAACCTACAAAGTGAGTGTGTTGTGGTCTATCTAGAAATATACAGAAAATAGTGCTGTTATTTTTGGTGAAGGAAATTTTGCATAGTTTATTTCAATCTAAATGAAATGTGAATTTTTTTAAAAGGAACCTCTGGCTGTGTTGGAAAAGCTGCTTTTCCCGGGGCTCTGAAGTCCACACCACAACGAAGGCAGCCGAGGACACGGGGTGCTGACCCCGCTGCTCCAGAGCAACGGAGCTGCCAGCCCTGCAGGTCAGACAGTCCTGTTAACCGGCAAAATTATGGCCTTGGTTTGGACTTCCCAGCTTTTCAACTCCAGTGTGCCCACCTCTTCCTGCTCCCCACAAATCTGTAAAACCCCCATAAATGCGGTTATCTGGAAGTCTTCTTATCCTACTCCCACAGAGTCTTTGCTCCTGAGAGAGTTTTGTCCTGCCTGGACTCCCCAGGAGCTGAATTTTTTGTCTCGTTAAGAATCTACTGCACACTCATGTTAGGATGCTCCCGGGGACTGATCAGTTGACAGCTTTTCAGTGATGCCTTCTTACCCACAAGAGCAAGCGCCCTCTCCCTCTCTGTGAGCCTTTCCCTGGCCGCTCTTACTCCATAGACTGCACCACTTTCCTGTCTTCCCGAGATGCACATTTGCTGCCTTCTCTGTGCGGCTTTTCCAGTTCATTGGTGGACACCAGCAGCCTGGAAAGAAGCCGCTGGGCCTCCCCGCCTGGGAACACGCACGTTGGTCCCTGCTGGCCTCTCCCAGGGGAAGAGTGCCCTCCTCTGAGAGGAGGAGTGGGCATCTCAGCCTGGATGGAGCCTAAGTGTCTCTGATTTTGGTTTCAGCGTAATACTTTCTTGCAGGAAGGATTTTGAAAGTATTGCTTCCCTTCATTTTATCAAAGAGTTTCAGCATGAGTGGCATTAGTTCTGCTCCAAGTTTTTTGTAGAATTCAACAGGGCTTTTCTTTGTTGGTAAGTTTTTAATAATGTTTTCAGTTTCATTGACTGATGTCAGGTTATTTAGCATTTTTATATCCTCGATTACGTTTTGGCAATCCTTCTGCGTCTAGGAATCGGTTCATTTCTTCTGTTTTTTCCATCTTATTTGCATCCAGGTTCTCCTAGTAGGGACTGATCTTCCTCCGTGTCCAGCGCCAGTGGCTGGGAAGGAAGTCAAGGTGCCTGTCCCTGTTGTCTTCTGGTCTCACAATTTGCAAAAAACGTTTTTTTCTCAAATACTTCCTAAAATAATCCTTTGCAAGGAACTTGCTGTAGTTGTGGGTTTGTTTGGGGTTTTTAGTTTTCTGAGCAAGGATCTGGCTAAGTAGCCAGGCTGGACTCAAACTCCTGCTGATGCTCCTGCCCGACATCCTGAGTTCTGGGGTTACAAGCATGCACCTCCATACTCAGCTTTAATTGAGTAGTGCATCCAGTGGAGGTGCCACTGGTGTGTGCGTGCAGAGATCAGAGAAGGACAGGAAATGGGACAGCCAAAGGTGGGGGCCCTGCTGCCCACTTAAGATTCCAGGGGAGTGATGGGAAGGGCCAGAGAGGCTCAGCATGCAGCTGATGTAAAGCCCTGCATCTCCTGTGGGAAGGAATCCACCAGAAACTGAAGAAAACCCACTGCAAAATTTATTTCAAAAAGCAGAGATTTGGAGCTGGGGATTTAGCTCAGTGGCATAAGCAGCTGCCTGGCAAGCATGAGGTCGTGAGTTTGATCCCTGGTACAAAAAGAAAGAGAGGGAGGTAGAGAGAGAGAGAGAGAGAGAGAGAGAGAGAGAGAGAGAGAGAGCGCTTTGGCTAAAGCACTAAAAAGGAAATAAGGCTGTGAAAGCAGCAACAGTAATGCCCGCTCCATCTCCTGTGTAATCAGGACCAGTGCCAAAGGCAGATGTCTGTTAGTACCCGCATCAGTCAACAGTTTGTTAGGTTTCAATCATACACCTGCTGTGGATGCTTCCTGTGCTGCGCACAAGCTTCCTTTCACTCAATAAATATAAAATATTTTCTAATGCTGCACAAGAAATTTCGAGATTCTACAGTAAGCGGTTTTTTTTTTCTTTAAAATTCACAAAATACTTATTCAATCACGTAGCTGTCAGCCGCTCCGCCCTTTAGACCGTACACATTCCGTTACAATGAGTTTTGCAGTTTTGCACGTTTTTACAATGTTATTAACTGTTGAGGAATTTTATTTGAATACTGAACCCATATATGTATGTTAAAAGTTTGTTAAAAAGGAAGTTAGAATCCCCGGGAATTCTCAAGACTGTACAAATAAGGCATTTAATTTTTCAGTAGCAATTTCCAGTAGCAGACTGTGTGCTTTATCAATTTGTTGTTGAAAGAATAGATTTTTTAAATGTGCAATGTTGGTTCATGCCTTCATAGTGCTAGAGTTGAGAACTGAGGCTTCAATGCATGTCTTAAATATTATCATATATGTGATATGCCCAGACGGCATATGACTTTAAGCAGAGTACAGCTA